GCACATGCGTCTTCTTCAGCTCTGAAGTTTGACTCTGAGGTTTGACTCTGAAGAAGACGCATGTGCGTCGAAACGTTGGTCATTTTGCACAAATAAATATATTAAAACGTTCTGTGCTCCGGTCCTGCTCCTTTTTCCTAGTTAGACCTTGGGTCCTTTTTCTCAGATTGTTGTGTCCTGTTCCGAGAGCACTGGCTAGGCTGAGGCGCAAGTGATTCCTTTCTGCTGCCATAGTCATATTCCCAAAATGGGAACATGAACTTTTGACAAAAGCTTCCTCACCGTGCTGACTGCCCAAACACGGGAGGCAACTATTGTGGCCGTCTGCTGGCCCCAGGGAATGACCGCATCCAGAAACGCCCAAGCGGAATGACATCCTGAAAAGGACACAGGGTTGACCTGTGTTGCTCTTTCAGTTGAAAACAAAAAAGATAAAATAAAACTCTTTCCACGCAAAGGCACCCAGGGGTAGCCGCGGCTGTAATGAGTATAAACTCAGGAAACACCCACTGAACCAACACACACACAGTGTAATGCTGTGAAAACAGCAGATGTGAGCTGTAATGCTCGCGCCGTCGCACCAACGCTGGAACAGAGATGAGATGAGTTTTCCAGCTTGTAGAGTCTCTTCTTGCAGCACTCGTGAAGTCAAATAACCACTCGGCTCCTAAGTGAAAGACAACGTGTGCCTGCGCCCGCTTTCTGTTTATACCCGCGCTGCGGGGCGGGGCGTGTGACGCGATTCACGCACGCCAACGTTCATTGGCTCGTTCTGTAGACACTCGAAGATGATAGGGCTCCCTGAAGTGATCTCAATTATGTTGTCACGTCGTCGTCACGTCGAACGTGATCGACTGATAGGGAACTGTAATTTCTGTCCTTACCACATTAAATGGTCAATTAAATCAATATTTGTGACCTCAGCATTCGTGTTTTTTTGTTTTTTTTTGTTGTTTTTTTGCTGACCTTAGCACTGAACCTTAAAGGGATAGTTCACCCAAAAATTTACATTTTGGCATCATTTACTAACCCTCATGTCGTTCCAAACCTGTATACATTTCTTTCTTCAACAGAACATAAAAGAAGATACTTTGAAGAATGTTGGGACAGCATTAGCTGGCATGAGCCTCAGGCCACACTGTCTGTGATTCAAAAGGACAGCAGAAGAACTCAAACCAAATGCCATCTAGAAGTGTCTAGGGGAAGTGAAGCTGAGAGAATATTTAACACAGATCAAAGCTCTTCTGACTGACACAACAGAGAGTATCACATCTATAGAGCACAATCATTACCGGCATTTCTGAGTATCCTGTGCAGTGTTTACATCACTGAGGAGAGATGGTTAGAAAAAGAGAGAAGATGAGGAGGGTGACGAGGTGTGTCTTGTTCCTTTACAAAATGCTCCTGATGCTTTATTTGTACTCTGTTTTTGTTTATTCTGCTTGGTTCACATTTAATATAAATGATCGTGGACATATAAAAAGCACAAATGCTGTTAAAACAATAGAAATCAATAAAAGCTTTCAAAGTGTCTATAAAAAATGAATGTCTAAAAACCTATTGAAGGTCATACAGGTTTGGTAAAAAACATAGTGGGTAAATCCTACAGACATATATATATATATATATATATATATATATATATTCTTTTATTATTATTATTATTATTATTATTTTTTTATTAATTGAGTCATTCAACATATTTGGCTGCTAATACTAAAACTGTAAAAAAAACCATCAAACTATTAACCACAAAACATGTACGTGAAACTTGACATTTTATGCTGAACTTATATTATTTTGTTGTTGGTATGGTAATAAGCGCCATATTCAGAAGATAAGACAAACGGTATGGTATAAGCAATTAACACTTTATTAGTTTATGTAGCAGTGTAACAATTCATGGGACTTTAAATGCCTCGTAGTCTTGAATTTCTGTTTGTAATTTCTTGATTACTTTATCAGGATACTTATCTTTAATTATTAGATTCACATTCTGAAGTCCCGAAAAAAATTCTCCACATGAAGGAATGTCTGTTTTTTATTTATTTTTTTAAATAGCACATTGGAACACATTTGTGTCCCAGTTTCATTTAATTTTTCATTTGAAACGCTTTTCCAAATCTTTTGATAAAATGGTAACACTTTACAATAAGGTTCATTAGTTAATGTATTAACTAACATGAACTAACCATGGGCAATACATTTGTTGCTGTATTTGTTAATCGTTGTTAACGTTAGTTAATAAAAATACAGCTGTTCATTGTTTGTTCATGTTAGTTCACAGTGCATTAACTAATGTTAACAAGATTTTAATAAAGTATTAGTAAATGTTGAAATTAACATTAATAAAGATTAATAAATGCTGTATAAGTGCAGTTCATTATTAGTTCATGCTAACTAATGTAGTTAACTAATGTTAACTTAATGAACCTTATTGTAAAGTGTAACTGAAAAAATAGTTCCATTAAGACAACTTAATTACTTTATCTTTTAAATGGTGATGAATTACCCTTCCCCCAAGCAGCTCTGAAACTTCACCCACACCCGTTTCAATAAGTCAAATCAATCTTCAAGCCAGGAGTCATGACAATCTGTTTTCCATATTGGCAACCTTTCCCTTTCCATCGATCATCCCACACTCTATTTGCTTCTTTCGGCCTCACAGTGAAAGTTCAAAATGCTCATTATGCCCAGAACCCATTTTACTCCTATTCACTCCTATTCATTTATATTTGAATGTCTTATTTTTTTAGATGTTGGGTAAATCCGAGAGTTCCTGAGACTTGCACCGCTGTCACATGACTAAAGCCACTTTTTTATGTTACCTTGATTGATACTTTGTCATGGCTAAATCAGAACATGCATCCACTCAGAGAGAACATAATGGCCTCTGATTTACGTGGAGAAAGCTACTTTAAATCACACGTCTTAAGTGCTTTTTCTCAATTTTACAGAATGAACCTGAAAAAATGCTATGTATCACTATGCTATATATCAATCATATGTTATTTCTGAAAGCCCCAAATGTGCATAAAGGAAGACTGGGTATGACTTTTTTTTTCATATTAAATCAACCACAAACACTTTACCTTGACAGCTGCAAATATGTTTTGAAAGTATTGACGTCAGCAGGCAGTGGTTAATACTGCCACAATTCATTTATCTAATTAAAAAAAATCTTAAATAAACTCTACACTGACACACTATGCTTCACATCTTGCTCAAAAATATAAATAGACAGGTTATATGACTCTATTCATTCTATATTCAGAAAACTTAATGAAGAAATTGTGAGTCATACATTATCTAAAATTATGGTAAAAAATAACATTGCTAACATGTATTAAATGATAAAACATTAAATTACATCCATAGGCCTACGTCACATCAGCAGGTGTCTGCATATATCCTGATGATTGAAGCTCCAGCAGAGGAATGTGGTGTTAGAGAACCATAGAACAATAGAACAATTTCAATCAATTCATCTGCATAAAAGGATTGTAAGTTGACTTGTAAATCACTATGGCAACAATTAAAAATAGCCTTAAAATGAGGCCTGAACTGACATTTCAGCCCCTACAGGTAAACGGTTGCAGGCATCCTACAATATCTACATGCATCATAGGCCTACTTCTTTTTAGCTATACACTCACCTAAAGGATTATTAGGAACACCATACTAATACTGTGTTTGACCCCCTTTCGCCTTCAGAACTGCCTATAGGTGGCATTGATTCAACAAGGTACTGAAAGCATTCTTTAGAAATGTTGGCCCATATTGATAGGATAGCATCTTGCAGTTGATGGAGATTTGTGGGATGCACATCCAGGGCACGAAGCTCCCGTTCCACCACATCCCAAAGATGCTCTATTGGGTTGAGATCTGGTGACTGTGGCTGTGATCAGCTTGAATCAGTCGGCCCATTCTCCTCTGACCTCTAGCAGCAACAAGGCATTTTCGCCCACAGGACTGCCGCATACTGGATGTTTTTCCCTTTTCACACCATTCTTTGTAAACCCTAGAAATGGTTGTGCGCGAAAATCCCAGTAACTGAGCAGATTGTGAAATACTCAGACCGGCCCGTCTGGCACCAACAACCATGCCACGCTCAAAATTGCTTAAATCACCTTTCTTTCCCATTCTGACATTCAGTTTGGAGTTCAGGAGATTGTCTTGACCAGGACCACGCCCCTAAATGCATTGAAGCAACTGCCATGTGATTGGTTGATTAGATAATTGCATTAATGAGAAATTGAACAGGTGTTCCTAATAATCCTTTAGGTGAGTGTAATCCTTTAGGTTTTTACTTTTGTATGTCTGAACAAAAATAACACACACAAACACATTAAATTCATTTTAAAGTGATAGTTCACCCAAAAATTAAAATTCTGTCAGTAATTACTCACCCTCATTTCGTTCCAAACCCGTAAGACTTTTGTCCATCTTCGGAACACAAATGAAGATCTTTTTGATGAAATGAGATGAGATTTCTGTCCCTTCATTGACAGCTAACTAACACTTTGATGCTTCAAAAAGTTCATAAAGAGATCGTAAAACTAATCCAGTTGAATTGAGCGGTAGTCCAACATTTTCCAAGACAAAATCGCTTTATTTGATGAACAAATTGAATTTAGGCTTTTATTCACATATAAACATTCATCAACTCACACATCAGTTGTGATAAACAGAAGCTCAAATATGTTTGCTTTATTTGCGAGAACCAATGAGGTTCATTAACTGACGTTTAACACTGGCTCTTTTTACTCTCAAAGTATTACAACAAGAACAATTCATTATACGACAGTAGTAGGCCGAGTCATTTGTTTTAGACAAACTGGATAAATTGCACTTCGTGAAACGTTTTGTGTTTCCTGCCGGACAATACAGGATGAAAATGATATGTGAGAGACTGTTGTTGGAGAGGTCGGTCTTACATCATATTGCGTAAAATCGCGCGCGTAAAAGCGTTGCGCTCTGCCATTTACCACAAAGTGTGCATGGAATACCAGAGAAGACCAGCAGAAGATCCTGTATGTCTGAATCTGTCAGGTAAGATGACTTCAATTCATTTTCTATTTCGAGAAATTATAGCCTAAATAAAATCTTATATGGTTTTTAATGCATACCTAACATATAAACTAGTACAACTACGAATAGATGCAAAATACAGTTAGAATTTAATTGTTTATGTAATAATCAAACTGAGACAATTACATACATTTACTGTGCAGAGGAAGAAAATTGCAACATTGCATGTAGTTTTTCTTTTGTAATAAAGTTGTACTTTTTACTAAAGGTTCTGATTCTCATAGAATTCAAAGACACTATGGACAACAAAACAATGCAATCTTCATGCAACCTGACCAGTCCGGATTATAACCAAACCAACTGCACTTCTCCAATGTGGATGTTCTACCCTGACTTCTACATCTGGCTACCGGTTATTTACTCTGTCATCTGCGCCGTGGGACTCACGGGCAACACCGCTGTCATTTACGTGATCTTAAAGGCGCCTAAAATGAAAACCGTCACCAACTTATTCATTTTGAATTTGGCCATTGCCGACGACCTTTTCACGTTGGTGTTGCCCATCAATATCGCCGAGCACCTGTTAAACTATTGGCCGTTTGGAGAGGTTTTATGCAAAGTGATCCTGTCCATAGACCACTACAACATCTTCTCCAGCATCCTCTTCTTGACTGTGATGAGTGCAGACCGCTATCTGGTCGTGGTCTCCACCTTGCGCTCCAAACGGATGCCCCACCGGACCTACAGGTTAGCCAAGACGGTCAGCCTGAGCGTTTGGGTTCTAGTCATTCTCATCGTGATGCCCTTCACCGTTTTCGCCGGTGTTTACGTGAGTCCCGACGACGCGGAGAGCCGGAAGAGCTGCGTTTTGAGTTTCCCGAGCCCTGAGAGTTTCTGGTTCAAAGCCAGTCGGATCTACACCGACTGAACATCCAGGAAGGGGATCTCCTTCCTGCTCTGCTACTGTTCGGACGCTCTTGCTTACTGCTCCGCGCTTTGCTCTATCGCTTTTTTATTTTTCTTATATTTTATCTCCTTTTATCACCTAATTTTAACTTCAGCTAATCAGCACAGTGCTCAAACGCTTGGATTACTACAAAAAAAAAAAGCAGAATTCTTTTTACTTGACCAGCCTCCCACTGAAAGCTTACATTCCGGGGAAGAGAAAACACAACTGTCTATGTGTTTGCTGTCACAAAGCTTTGGGTGTCTACAATGTTTATTTCCACTAGATGGCGCTTGTGTACTTCAACACTCATTTATTTCAGCAACTTTGAATCAGTTTAATCTGTACATTTTTATATTTCAACTATTTTATAATGCTTGTTGTGATTTATATACTCAACTGTTGTATATTTGAGCAATAATTATTCTTTCTAAGAGTTTTTTGGGTATATTTTATTTTGTTCCCATCGTGTCTTTGTATGTCACTTCCTGTTTTTTGCCACGGAACAATGAGTCAGAACTGCGGTCGGAGTTTTACAATTCTGCTGATTATATAAGACGATGTAATCATCGCAAAGTTGAAAGTATTACTTTTTATGATTATAAGTCATGCAATCAAGAAGTTCAAGATGTAAACCCCTCTCTTAGCTCACAAGCAGGCAAAAGTGGTATGTATTTTCTGTTTATGTACGAGTTTAAAGTCATATGTGTTTTCTATGTAACTGACTGTATACATGTTTTTTGTTGTATATTCATCCTTTTAGTTCTACGGTGTTGATGTCTGAGTCCAGAGAGCATTAAACATCAGTTAAAAGAACCTCAGCCTTCGTGTTGTGACTAAGAGCGGTACAGTAGAACACTTACTGCGTCGGTGAAGGCCAACAGCATCTGATCGTAAAGCTGCACGAGGAAGACGGCCATCAAGAGGCGCCACGTGTTGAATGAGGGAAGTACAACATGAAAATATCGCAATTGACTGACTGAAGCAGCCAGTGGGCAAGTGAAGGCTGAACAAGCAAGCACTATTAAAGTTAGTGACTTGGAAGCAGCACAAGGTCTTGTGAACTGTCGCTGAAGTTTCAATTGTTCTGGTATTTCCGTCATCCTCATTCTAAGATAAAGTCGGACATTTTTCTATTATCATTTGACTTATTAAGAAACTAAAGGGACTAAATAGATGGGCAATTGTATTGAATAAGACTAAAATTTGAATTTTCTGTTATATTCAAGTGTTTTGCATACCTTATAATTTAATCATGTTGATATTCACATTTTAAAAGTTACAAGTTCATTCTTTTGCTACTTGACAGTTCTGCAATTTTTTTATCATTTACATGATTCAATCACATAAGTCTAGCTGAGATAATCGCTTTACACTAAACTTTAGATTTATTTTGAGCTCTTTGAATATTCACATTATAGTGCAACACAGGTCTAGCATGTCATACACAAGTGAAAAAACATTGCTGCCTACTAAAGAAGTCAGCTCTGCATACCCAACTGCACAAGACGTAGACAATGCAGAGCAGGTTATCCCACCACAGCAGACTGATATAACTGAGCAAGTTGAAGTGGCTGCACAAGTACAACAACCTCAGGTTGACGCAGATAATACACAGCTCCCAGATATTAGAAGAAGTCAGCGAGCACGCACGCTTACCGAGAAGGGTAAAACACTGCAAGACGCTAGACTAAATGATCTGGAAAGAAGCTTTGAGCAGAAGTATAGAAGGTGGAAATATCACATCAATGGTTTGAAAAGAGCCATTAAGAACAATGATGATGCAGAATTGATTTGTGAAGTTGTGAGCACCATTAATGCCATTCAGTCTGAGGTCGACCACATTTATGGCGATATAAGAAGCATCACAAGCCCGGAACCTGAAATCCGAAGGAAAAATGACACTTGTCTTGCCATTACTAGCACTGCAAACGAGAAATCTCAGAGCTTTCTCAACGGTGATCCTAAGGAGATTCCCTGGCCTGATTCAGATTCAGTGTTTGAAGCCACGGTGTCCAGCATCATCTCAGCAACCTCCAGTAAGTCAAAGTCTGTTTCCAAGATTTCCAGTCGATCTTACAGTGATTCTCTGCAGAAAAGACAAGAAGCAGCAGCTGAAGTAGCGGCTACACAAGAAGTGATTAAAATAATGAAGACACAACATCAACATGAAGATGAAATTAGGAAACTGGAGGCAGAGGTTGAAAGGTTAACGGCAGAAAGAGAAGCTCAAGAAAGAGAAACCGAAGCGGAGAATGCAAGGAAAAGGGCTCAATTTATTTCGGAAAGCACTGTTAGAAAAATAAAGCTGGAAGAAAAGAAAAAGGAAGTGGAACGGTTGGAGGAACTGAAAAGACATAACGCAGCACAAGCAAGGCTGCAGGTTTATGCTGAAAGCATCAAAGGTGATGAGGAAGAACGACGTTCTGCTCCTCTTCTTCTACAAAGACAAGAAGATTATATTTTTCAATCAAGCATTCCTTTTTCTCTCTCTAAGCCTTTCATGCTCGCACAAGACACTGCTCCTTTGAACCAACCCTCTTGTTCCTCTCAAGGGTTACCAATTCCCCAAGCTCATATCTCTCAGTCACCTTCATTGCCTGCTCACAACGAAGCTTCTAATGACCTTGTGAAGGCACTCGCTGAAGCGATTACAGCCAACAGGATCCCAATTCCAGAACCTGTTGTTTTCTCTGGAGATCCCCTAAAGTATAATGACTGGAAGCTGTCTTTCCAGACATTAATTGATCGCAAGAACTTGCCACCTCAAGAAAAGCTCTACTTTCTACGCAAGTATGTAGTTGGTCCGGCCAAGAGAGCTATTGAAGGACATTTTGTGGCTGGAACAGAAATAGCTTACACGGCAGCCTGGAACATCCTCGATGACCGGTTCGGCAATCCGTTCGTAGTTGGCAAATCTTATCGTGACAAAATACAGTCTTGGCACAAGATTGCTACCAAAGATAGCAAAGATCTCCAGGAATTTGTAGATTTCCTAAGCAGTGTTGAGTCAGCCATGCCTTATGTTCAAGGTTTACAAGCTCTGAATGACTGTGTTGAAAATCAGAGAATATCAGCCAAATTGCCAGACTGGTTAAGTTCACGTTGGAATAGAGCAGTCACCAAGTTTCAAGACGAACACAAAGGGTTCCCAGATTTCAAATACTTTGTTGAATTTCTCAACAAGGAAGCTCGAATTGCATGCAATCCTATCACGTCACTGCAAGCAATAAAGCCAGCAGAGCAAGAAAGGTACAAGCAAACAGATCAAGATCATAAGTTTCAGCGGAATCGCAACTCAACTGCCAAGACATTCACCACTAGTTCCAACGAGGAAAGGACTAGCTTTACGTGTGTCTTTTGTAAGAGATATGGGCACACTCTTCATAAGTGTCGTAAGATTATGGAAAGACCGATTGAGGAAAGATTGAAGTTTGTACAGTCTGAGAAGTTGTGCTTTGGCTGTCTTAAGACTGGTCATAACTCCAGAAGCTGCTCCTCTAGGAGCATGTGTGAAAAATGTGAGAAGCGTCACCCAACAAGCCTACATCAGGACCGTGTAAATAATTCCCCAGTACAGAGATCTAAAACCAGTCAAGATCAGTTCAAGGTTAATCACGGATCTGCAGATAGAACAGCCGAATCACATAAGGTACAAGAGTCTAAGCCTGTGACTTCGAACAGAGTAGTTCAAGAAAGGAACGGCACTCATACCTCATCGATCATTCCAGTTTATGTCTCAACAACAGCGGAACCAAGGAAGGAGATTTTAGTGTATGCCTTGCTTGATACCCAGAGCGACACTACTTTCATTCTAAAGGACACAGCTGAGACACTTGATATCAGGAAAGAGCCTGTCAAACTCAAGATTTCTACAATAACATCCAAAACGAAAGTTGTGTCCAGTCACAAATTGAATGGACTACAAGTAAGAGGGTTCCAGTCCGAAGTAAAAATAAAACTTCCAACAACTTACACTAGAGACTATATACCTGCAAATAGATCTCATATACCCACATGTGAAACCGCAAGGAACTGGCCTCATCTAGAACATCTGGCAGATGTAATGGCTCCTGCACTTGACTGTGAAGTAGGTTTGTTAATAGGATACAACTGTCCTCAAGCCTTACTTCCCAGAGATGTTCTCAGTGGCAATGAGAATCAGCCATTTGCACAAAGATCTGTGCTGGGTTGGAGTATCGTTGGATACAACCATGACGACAGTTATCAAGATGAAATCGGTGTGAGTCACAGGATTATTATGAAGCAAGTTCTACCAGCTGGTGATCCATCTCACAAACTCAAGTCTGAAGTCTGCTTTGTACATAGGAACAAGGTAAAGGAGATGATCACTCCAGCAGAAATAATGAAGGTTTTTGAGTCGGACTTTGTTGAAAGGGATAATGAGGAAGTCTCAACGTCACAAGAAGACTTAAGGTTTTTGGCTAAATTGAATGAAGGCATTAAGCAAACGCAAGATGGACACTATGAGATGCCATTGCCTTTTAAGGGTGAGAGGCCAGAGTTGCCAAACAACAAAGCATGTGCAGAGCATCGACTCAGATCTCTAGAGAAGCGTTTAAGGAGAGATGAGCAGTACCAAAAGGATTACCTGGCTTTCATGAAGGACATAATGGCAAGAGGCGATGCTGAAAAGGTCCCAGAGATGGAGTTAAGTTATCAACCAGCATGGTATATACCTCACCATGGAGTATATAACCCGCAGAAGCCAGGCAAGATTCGCATCGTCTTTGATTGCTCTGCAAGATTTCAGAATACTTCTCTGAATGAGCATCTACTGACTGGGCCTGACCTCACAAATACCCTTGTTGGAGTCTTGTGTCGTTTCCGGAAAGGGCAAGTAGCCTTCATGTGTGATGTGGAGCGTATGTTCCACCAGTTTCATGTTGCTCCAAAGGATCGGGACTACCTCAGGTTCCTATGGTGGGAAGATGGAAACATGAAAGTC